ACCGGCAACTGCAGGTGCTGATTTATACAGACCCATATTGCTGCTGCTGATGATGATCATCATCATCATGGCAGAAACTAGGGTGAAACCGTAAGTATGACTGTGCACTTGGTCTCTCAAAGACCTGCTCCCTCTTCCTTAGTTCTCTTACCGGAATTATTTTTTTTTACAATATTAACCCGGCATTTTTTCTTCTGATTTCCTGGTTGTGTCCGTGTTCGCAAAGCAACACCGTGGCGGTGCCCGTGCACAGGAAAGACATTACGTTTGTTATTGTCTTGTGGATACGTGTTTTGTGACATTCCAAACACCATGTGTTTTTTGTTTGTTGAGAATCATGATGATTGTACTGCGAATCATGCAGATGATTCCGGCTTGAGCTTCCGCCCTGGTGATATTGAGTGCTTTTAAAATTAACCGGGAGTGTGCAACGACAGTCGTGGACCAAGCAATCCGACCCGCGAGTCAAGAAGTAGCGCCGCGTTTCTATTTCGACTACTGTGTACGGTCAGACCTCGCTTACGTAATTACCCGGTCCTCTTTTATCTGGATCCCTCGCCATCCGGAAGAAAATCGTTGGTTACCGATTTACAGCACATGCCATGCATACATAGTGCAGTATGTGTGTTTGATTATCCGGTTCCCTCGCCTATCCGGATATTTGTGTGGAAAACGGATATTTGTGTGGAAAACGGATGTGTGCGGTTGAGAGAGGTCTGACTGTAGCGGGTAAATTTAGGTGTAATAAAATTTCGGTGTCGGGGACCTGCCAGGTTTCACGTGTACTATAGAATTACGTGACCAGCGTTCTCTCCACGTACGTAGCACCGTGCATGCTCCGGGGGCCTGGTTTCTCTACCGAAATTAAAGTTACACCAAAACCCCATCCAAGGGCCGCGTGTGTGCCTTGACGATGCTTTCTAGGATGTGTGTCGGATTTATGTTGGTCATGAGTGATAGGTCTGGTATTTGCCCGGATGTATGTCGCACTATTTTACACCAAACTTCAAGGACAAAGAAGAGGATGCGGCGTACAGTCCAGCATGACTTACTTGTGATGTGAATGTACAGTGAAACCTGGTGTAAGCGACCACCTGCTCTTAGCGGACAGTTCTACACAGACACTGTGGGACCTGGTTCTAAAGACCACCTGGCTTTAACGACCACCTTTTCTTGCACCGTGGGGTGGTCACTTAAACCAGGTTTTACTGTATTGAAAAGTCTTAGATCTGAAAATGGGGTGCACCTTATCATTGACTTTGAGTCCTACTTACGAGCAGAGAATTCGGGTAAAACCCGACGTTACACATTCTATTTCTGCAGTGCAATATACATGTACAGCAGCACAGTTATCTCATCCGAAACTGGTACTCTACTAAAGCCTCCCAGCCGGGAGAGAGAGAGAGACAGAGAGAGAGAGTGAGTGTGTGTGTGTGCGTGCCTACATGTGTGCATATACGTATGCGCTGTTGTAGCGAGAGCGGATCATAAAGACTTCCATATTCTCAGTATTCTGTCTTTGGCCATACTAGTACTGGAAGGGCACCCGCTGCGCAGAAGCACCTACATTGCAGCCATTGTAGGCCTGGCATAAGGCACAGTAAATCCACGCATATCAAGATCAGTTTGAAAGGTAACGAACGGATGAATTCACCAGGAACCCACAATAAAAACCTCTTTGCGAGCACGGAGAGAAAATCAATAAAATAAAAGATGTATATGCGCCCTGCAGGCGTGAACCACCTGCAGTAGGGTGTCAATGAGCGTAGCGAAATTTGGACACGGGACAGGGGGGGGGGGGGGGGGGGATGCCAGACGGCAAAGGAAGCGGTCAGATATACAATATTCACCATGACAACCTGCAGCCAGGCGCTGCCATGGAGTTTTCAGCCGGGTACAAACCTAATCTGTGAGCTTTGGGTAGCAATTATTTGATAAGGCAACAAGAGAAGAAGTGAGGATTGGAGCTTAGCACGCGTGATAATGTATCCAATCAAAGTTTCAATACCCCAAGCGGAGAGTCAAAATGAGAAGAAGAAAAGGGAGGAAATAGATCATTTTGGTGAGCTGACAGCGCAAAGCTGCTGCTGGCACATCCCACACACACGCACGCACACACATGCACCTATCTACAATGCTTGTTCTTGGGCCTGCACACATACGTGGACTCGCACACACACACACACACACACACACACACACACACACTCGCATGCGTGCGCACAAACACGCACACACGCGCGGAAACCCCTTGATCTAGGTGTCTGCCTTTGGGGAATCCCTCAAATAACAATGATAATAATGCACACACACACACACACACAAACACACACACAAACACACACACACACACAAACACACACAAACACACACACACAAACACACACAAACACACACACACACACACACACATGTGCGTGTACGCACGCTGCATGTGGTCTCTTGTTCCAGCATAGCACGACACCCCACGCATCATCATAAGCAGCTTTCCACTAGTGGCAAACGACCAAGCAGGGCAATAATAAAGAGTCAAGTCGCACAACAGAAGCATCAACAGAAGCATCAACAGAAGCATCAACAGGAGTAGCAGGGATCACGTTGCAGTCTTCGTGTCTTCCTGCCTCCACCAACACCAGCACTAGCACACACTCGCAGCATCAGCAGCAGCACCATCATCAGTATTCTAGTGAGGAGCGAGTTCGGTGGTGGAGCGCATGTAACACTCTCGGCACACACCTCCGTACGTACGCTCTCCAGCGCGTACGCACTGCGCGTTCAGACACCGCTCCACTCCCTCGTTGTAGAACGGCGTGGTGGTCTTCGACTGGTAGCAGTAGAGGCAGAAGCCGCCGAACTCGGGCAGCGCCGGCTGCATGCAGCCCATGGACCGGCATACCTTCCGCTCTGGCATGGTAGTGTACCTATCCGACGGCGGCACCGCTTGTTGATACATGGACTGGGAGCGCTGCGGCGGTGGATGGACGCCGGCATCGTGCTGCACCCCCGTCACCGAATGCTGTGCGGCGTGCGCGTACGGTGGCTGCGGCTGCTGTGCCGTGCCCGGTGGGAATCCGCCGAGGGTGGCCGCGCCGCCGTACGCGCGTTGCTCGTCCTCGAGATCCGCTTGCTTCTTGGTCATCTCGAAGAAGCACTGCGCGCAGCGACCGCCGTACTCGTCGCTCGCCTCGTTCTGGCAATCGCGCTCGGAGCACGGCTTGCGTCCAGTGGACATATCCAGGCGACGACGGACATCGTCGCCGTCCTCGCGTACCCGCGCCAATGGCGCCGTCATGGATCGGATAGGCACGCCGCCAGAACAAGCGCCACTAGGCCGTGTCGGAGGAGCCGGTTGTGCTGCGCTGCTGCTGCTGGCTCGCAGTTTAGAGCATTTTGAGCAGAGGTAGTCGCTCTCCAGGAGGCCGTAGAAGTCGCAGCCCGGCGTCAGGCATGGGATGGAGTTGGCGCGGTGCGGCGGAGTGTGTTGTTTGTCCACGGCGTTGCCTAGCGGGTCGGCGATGGGTCCGCCGGGTGGTGGTGTGGCCGGTGTTCGCGTTCCGCTGGACACGGACGGTTGCGGCAGGTAAGGGCCCGATGTGGCCTTCCCCTGGTAGCCAGTCACGTTGCCTGAGCCAGAGCTAGTCAAGGACGAATCCGGGGCCTACGACAGCAGAAAGGCACAAAGCGCGCGCGCACACACACACACACACACACACACACACACACACACACGGACACACAGACAAGCGCGCACACACGGACACACACATATGCACACACAAACACATGCACGCACATGCACAGACATGCACAGGTGAAGAGAATAAACACAGGTTGGCATCGTGTGCATCAAAACGTCACTAATTCTGAGTGAAAAAACCCTGAACAACAAAATAATCGCAATCTAATCAGTTTTCAACTCTCCAGCTACAAGTACAATGCGACTAAAACCAGTACAATCCCGCTCAATGCAATCCAGTCGCATCACTCAAGTTCGTGCCTTGCACCATTTCGCAGGCCAGTGTGCGCAGGTCCAGGGCTGCGCAACGCCCGGCACGTACTTGAGTGACGTGACTGGATTTCATTGAGAGCAGCACTGTACCTCAGTGGCAGAGTGACGGTGACCAGCAACCAGCCGGGTCAGAGCACGGACTCTCTACTTTTTATTTAAATTTTTGTTTCGTTTTGCTTCGCAGTTGTTGCGTCAGGCCAGTGAAATCATGTTCTGTGATTGCCAGTATAAGAGGCTTTAGAAAACTCTCTACTTGCCGCATCATACTAGTACCGTATTTCAACGGTTCTCATCAATGAGAAGAATTTCGTCCTTCGAGATGAAAATTTAATGCTTCCGCCGACTCTTAGGAGTAACATACCACGACCGGCGTACAAACCAATCTATCCTGGAAGAAATCAATGACATCATTGGAGCAAGGATGCGGCTAGCGAACGAAGTCAAGAAATTTAACTTGATGTGGTTTGGCCATGTTACGAGACATGACGTTTTCTCCAAGCCCTTCCTGCAAGGATCAACTCCTGTATCTCGACCGAGAGGAAGGCCCGCGACGTCATGGATTTATAACATTAAAAGTTGGATGGGTCTTCCCTTGCATGCTCTCTCTCATGCAGCACACGATAGAGTTGGATTCAGAGACATCATTCACAATTCTCTCGCTGATTAATGCCTCTACGATCACCTTGTGATTATGAGTTATACATACATACGACCTCCAAACTTGGGGCCTTGATTTACTGGTTTAAAGGTCGACTTATAACCGGTAAAATATGGTACAGTCGACTCCACTTATAACAAACTCACATAATATAGCAAATTTCGTGGTATAGCGAACCCTTGTCCATGTTCCTGTTTGAACCCATACAAAATTGACCCTTTAAAGCGAACAGGTTTCGTTTATAACGAACCAAATCTTGCAGGGCTGCCTGTAAACCAAGTACATTCATACTGTCATAGGCCACATGTACACCAAGTGCACTCAAACTGTCACAGGCCACTTGCCAGTCATGTTGTGCTGCTTGTATGGTGTGAGGGCATTTTCTGTTATAACGAACTTCGGCTATAAAGAACTAATTCTCTTGCACAATGGTGTTCGTTATATCAGGAGTCGACCGTATTCGTCTGCTGAGTGTAGGCAAGCAGCAGTGGCCATGCATGCAGTTCTGGCCATGCATGCAGTTCTCGTTATGCCAGGCAGGCCGGTCGCACCGTCTTTGAAGGTGCAGCGGCCATGACATAATATTATTATGGAAGGGGGTCCGGGATCCTCCCCCTGGACAAAATTCAAAATCGAAGCCAATTTTAGCATTTCAGAGCATTCGGTACCATTTCAGTGTCACTACAATGAAGGACTTTTCTGATTTTGCAAAAAAACAAACAAACAAGAAGACGCTACGATCGGGGGGAAAGAATTCTTCATTATTCGCCACGTTTGCGTTCAGCTGCGATCATTGCGCTGTGTTGCAGTCTGTTTGAAAAACGAATAAAATTGGCCACGGATAAGTGGGGCGGACTGAGCCGCCTCTGCCGCCCCGGCAGTAACGGCCTTCCCATGGGATATGATGTAGAGGCAGCGGAACTGGTCCGGTTGGTCAGGCCATGGCCGGGACCAGCTAATCGGCCACAGGCGTGTGTTTACTGATGATGAGGTGGTCATGTGTCTTCCCTCAGTATCATACACAAACTGTATGAAATACTAGGGTGTGGCCGGACCAAACATAGACTGCTTCCGCCGGTCCTTATGTGTGTGCATGACCGGGTTGAACACACACTCAAGTGTATGCACACACACACATGTACATGCACGCACATGCCACCCCTCCCCCCCCCCCTTCTCCCGCATACACACACACATGCGCGCACGCACACACATACACACAAATGCACACAAACACACACACACACACACACACACAAATGTACACACACATGCACACGCACACAAAAATGTACACACACACACAAACACACACACAGCCGGGAGCTAACACACACACACGACAATGCACACGGAGAAACCAATAGCTCACATCGGCTTGCGGCGGCGAGGTGGCAATCTGGCGACTAGCCTCCATGGAGACCGAATATGGTGGTCCTCCTCCTCCCCCAGAACTGCTGGGCTGGATTACAGGTATCGTCACCACTGGTGTGTCCGGTATCGGTTGAAGTTCGTATCCACTTCCTGCTCCTCCTCCGCTGTTTGGAACAGAATTGGGCCGGAAGTCCTTGGGGGCAGTCTGGGCATGCGAAAGACAAACACAAGCAGATTTAGAGTCTTCACTGGTTTGAGGGAAAGACACAAACGGGAAAAGCCTGAAGAAAAAAATTGACTGTCACCACCAGGACTCGAACCAGGGACCCTCGCTTGTAGCCAGCGATGCTCTAACCACTGACCCATGGTGTAGTCGTCATCCCAGCAGAGACCGTTCAACATTTTCTTCAGACTTCGTAACTCACACTGCTTAGAATCAAGATGAAATGACCAAAGGTTGAAATTCTATCCGTAGTTGTCCAGCACTGACAATTATAAGCTAGCCCCTTGGCTCTCCTGACTCCATCTGAGTTCCTACAAGCATTCTTTTATTCGCTTCCATGTAATTGGGCTTATTGCCCGTTTGGTATTGCGAATTCAAATAAAAAACAACAGCAAGCAGATGTAGATCGCTTACTGACTTCGTGACTTCACGCAAGTTCCTGATGAGCATTAGCACTAGACGCATAGCTCGTCTGCAGTCAGCTTAGTCCGGTCACCTCACCAGCAAAATGGCCCTCGTATGTACTACATACTGTATAATATGTTATTTTCGGTGAAACTTTAATTTCTGTAGATAAGCAAGGCACCTAAACTTAGATTACACCTAAATGGCACTAGAGCATGCACTGTACGTGCAGGGAACGCTGGTCACCTAATTCTACATTACACCTGAAACCTGGCAGGTCCCGGATACTGAAATTCTACTTCACCTAAAATCACATGTTATACAGTAGTCAAAATGGGCAAAATGGCGACTAGTATAAGGTGGCCAGTGCCAGGTACATGGTCAGCAAAGCACGGATGCGAGATCTGGCGGCCCTGGACTCAGCACACCAGTTCAGTCTGCACTGGCCATTGCCGACACCACGCCGACAGGATCCAGAGTCTCACCACGACAGACAGACAGACATACAGTGATGAAGGGAGCATTCTGCGGCTCATCGGATACCCCCCGCAGCATGCTCAGAAAACCGGCAAGCAGATGAATGACATTGCGCTGCAGGCCGTACCATCTTCAAATGAACCCCACTAGCTTTCATGCAGTCTTTGTTCAAACGACAGCATGCATGGCCAAACCGTGGCCACTACTTCAACTGAAAAGCAAACAAATGAGAAACAAGGTGCTGAGCAGTACGCTGAGAGAACTCACCGAATATGGCGAAACTGGCTGCGCAACAGCTGAACGTGGAAGACGAGAAGAACGGAACAGACGTAGACGGTCAATGTCAGAAATGTTAGACTCTGAAACCAGGCATGTCGGATGATAACGTGGCCCTAGCTTCCCTCCTCCCATGACCTCAACATTTATTTGGCCACCACAAGAATTCATGAAATTGTTGCAATTTTTTTCGCTTGTCTTTGCTTGTATTGAACCAATTAGGCAGCAAAACATAACGAGTGGAACACAAAGCATAGCTCTCATAGCTCTCATTGCTCTCATAGCTCTCATTGTCCACTCCCGCAGCAGTGCAGTACTGTTGGGTGGGGGACAATGGAACGCCGAAGAACGAACAGGTAAGAATCTCGCAAAGCACAGTATACACCAATGTATACATGGTAACTCGATTGTACATGAAAATAAGAGAGTGGCCTAGGCTACGGGGCTGAGCACCCAGTCCTTCGGCGACCGACAATACTGTACAGGGGAGGGGGGGGGGGGGGGGGAGGCATACTCACGGTTAATGGTGCCTGCTCGGGCACGGATAACCTCCATCTCGCGCTCCTGGAGCTGCCTGGTGAGATTTTCAACGTGCGCCTCCAGGTCTTGGATGCGTGCCTGCGCTCCGTCCAGGTCCCTCATGGTCAGCATGTGTCCGTCCTTCACACGCCGACTCTCCGTCGAGTACTTGCGCTCGCGGCTGTACAGCTCTCCGTAGTCGTGATTCAGCCGCTCCAGGTCCGTCTCCAGCTGCACGCGCTGCCGTTCCGATTGCTCCAGCCGGCTTGCCGCCTCGTCGCCGGCCGTTTTCATTCGCTCGATGTCGAGACCGAGATGCCTGCGCTGGCGATTAGCTTCGTCGAGTTCGTCCACTGTCTCTTCCTTCTCCTTGTTCAGCGCAATCCAGCGTTTCTGCAGGTCTTCGTGCCGGTCCTCCGCGTCCTTCAGGCGTATCTTGAGCGGCTTGTCCTCGTATTCGATGACCAGGGCGTTGAGCTTTGCGTAGCGGTCCTCCAGGTCGGCAATGGCCTGCTGCTGTGTGGTGACCTGGGCTTGCAATGCCTTGCGCTCCTTGACGATGCCGATACGGCGCTGAACAAGGTCGACCTTCTCCACGCGCAGCTGCTCCACCTGCTTCTGCAGCTCGGCGGACTTCAGCCTCTGCTCCTGCAGCTGTGCTTCGCACTTGCTTAGTTGGTAGTGCACGGATCCGTCATGGACGGCGTACAGGCGGCGCTTGGCGTCGGCCACGTCAGGTCGCACGTGCGGGTCCGGGTCCAGCAGCGCCATCACCAGCGAGTTGAACTCGGCCAGGTACTCCGCCGGCAGTGGCTTGACACCCACACGCTCCATGCTGTACGCCACCTGGTTGCTATCGGCGACGATGTACGCGTCCGGGTAGTCGGGCAGCGGGTGCGCCTGCATCAGGAACTCGTAGATGAGCACCCCGACGGCCCAGCACGTCTGGCCGCCAAAGTCGATCATCGGCGGCTGCTTGCCATCGTCCGCGGCAACGCGCGCAAACTGGTTGATCACCTCCGGCGCGATGTGCTGCTTGTTGTCGGCCGGGTACGCATCGCCGCCGCGCAGGTACGCCTGCAGGTGGTGCACGCGCAGGTGCTTGGCGCGGCTGAAGCCCGTCACAACGATGTCGTGATTGCTCGTCAGCAGCAGGTGCTCCAGCTTCAGGTCGCAGTGCACCACATGCTTCTGCTTCAGGAAGCACGCCACGTCCAGCAGCTGCATGGCCCACTTCTTGGCCTGCGTGTACGGCGGCGGGGAGGAACGATTGGCACGGTTTTTCAGATAGTCCGCCACCGACTGCTCGTGATGGTCAAACAGCACGAACTGTGCCAGGCGACCGCCTCTTGCTGACGCTGAACTCTCTATCGCGCTCTTGGCCTGCTCGGGTAGCTGTGCCCACAGCTCATCCGTGATGTTGTCCTCGAAGCACGTCCAGATTCGAATGATATTCCGGTGACGCAGGGCACTGCTCAGCGTGCGCCATTCGTTCTGCCGCGCAGTGCGGAACGCCTGGAAGTCTTCCGTCGCATCACACGGTGCGCTAGGTGCGGCGCCAGTAGCGGGAAGGGCGCTAGCAGCCGCTAAGTCAGAGGTGGCAACCGGCGATGACGATGACGCTTCGCCCTGGGTTCTTCTGCTTTCCGCCTTTTGCTGGCTGCAGTTCGGCTTGTCGTGGTAGAACACTTTCAGCGCGTACAGCTTGTTGGGCGGCAGGTCGTCCAGTGTGCATCGCACAGCCAGGATACTGCCCTGGGAGCCGTGGCGCACCACTCTCACTGGCTGGAAGTCCGAGCAGACGGCTTGGTGCAGAATCATGAGCTCCTCGTACACATCTCGATCGTCGGTGCGCGCTAGCGATGGATCGAGCGATTCCTCCGAAGACGTGCTGCCCTGCGAGGGCAGAGTGCCGCGAGCTCTGGCTGGAGTAACAGGCTCCATTGGGTTCGGAGCAGGCTCGGTCGCTCGCCAGCGCCAGGCGACAGAAACCACACTCTTGCAAGAAATAGTTTGTCCTCGCCCTCGCTCAGAATGTTTCTAGAAAAGTTTGTTTGACTCTTTGGACGGCAAAAAAAGAAAAGAAAAAAGGTGGCGAAAACTCGTCACTACAAGTCTACATTGTACACGTAATCGTTCACGGTCGGGGGGGGGGGGGTACCTGCTTGTGCGGCTGTTGTGCCAATAGGCAATACAAGTGGTGAGCTGAGTGAGTGGCGAAAGGGCTGACTGGTACAGTGCCAGTGGTGGCATATGCACAGAAAGCAATGAGAGCAACATACTCCAGTCAAACCTCTTTAGGACGAACACCAAGGGACCGATGATTTTGTTCGTAATAACGGGAGTTCTTCTTATCCATATTTTTATACCCAGTGAATACACAGTGATTTTGTCCAATAGAGTTACTAGTTCTTCTAAAGCGAAGGTTTGTCTTATCAGTGTTCTTCTTAACGAGGTTTCACTGTAGTAATAATATTATTACATTTGCAGGGATATCACTTGCTTGGCTGGCATAATAATATTAGTAATGTCCTTCCACCTGTCCCGCTTGGCTATATCAGATACAGAGCACTGGCCAGTATTATACATGTAAATCTGCATTCGCCTGCTCTTGCCGTCTTGACTCTTGCCAGTCTTGCCAGTCTTGGGTCTTGCCAGTCTTGGGTCTTGCCAGTCTTGCCAGTCTTGCCGGTCTTGGGTCTTGCCAGTCTTGGGTCTTGCCAGTCTTGGGTCTTGCCAGTCTTGGGTCTTGCCAGTCTTGGGTCTTGCCAGTCTTGGGTCTTGCCAGTCTTGGGTCTTGCCAGTCTTGGGTCTGGAGCTGACGCAGGACGTACTGTTACCATGTTGTTCCTCTGTTGTCATGGTTGTTGGTGTTGTAGAAGTTTATTTAACGTCTCACCACAAACAGGCGATTTCGCCTCCTTTGATACATGTGGACGACAGAAGGAATGAGAGGGGGGGGGGGGGCAGAAGTAGACCCGGGTGCTCGAATGAGACACAGGGTACCAAAACAGAAACACCCTGAAATTGTACCTAAACTTGTTCCGATTTCGTTTAGTTTTCACAAATACCATCAACATACGGCCTGCTAACGGTATGCCAAATTTCAGCGCTGCCCGGTAAACGGTTTTTGAAATACTCGCGACCCACTTTTTGATGGGTCCTTGATTCGAGGATGTGGGTCTCCTGTACGGTGCTGCCAAAGACCTGCTGAATCTGCGGCTCCACTGACCATCTTGCTCTCAAAAATGAAGTAGTAAGTAGTTACTACTACCTGCCCTCAACTGCCATACCAAGCGTAGACGATGGTAGACCCGTGTGCTTGAATCGGAGACGATCTGACGAGTTTGCTGTTTCTGATTCGAGCACCCAATTTTCAAATAAAAAATCCGAAGGAAATACGACCATTTTACTGCGTACTGTAGCTTGTGTTGTAGCGCACCGAGGTTCCGAATTCCTGCTGGGTGGGTCAAGCCAGACTCCCTTCCCTGTTCCATCGCCTCTCCAAAAGTATATTCTGACATTGTTGAGATTTACAGATGAGAAATTGCACACCTGTCAAATCGTTTCTGATTCGAGCACCCGGGTCTACGCAGAGAGGAAGGGTAGAAAAAATAAGCAAATCAAATCAACCTCAGGGCTACACCAAAGCAAAAACGGAATGGGAACATACTATATACAAAATAGCTTCATACATAATATATATATTGCAAAACACGTTTACTATTCTTCCGTCCGCTATACCACAGAAACAGAAACATATACTGCACAGGTACTGTACTGGAAGGCGCGTACGCAGGGGGGGGGGGGGGGTCCCGTTGCCCGGAACCCACCCCCCCCCCCCACCCAAATGTTCCAAACGAGCAACGTTTTGGGCATACATGTATTAGAGTTATTTCTGACGTGACGCGAAAGTTCAGCTCGCGTTATTTGGTGTCACGACTGTTCGCGGACAACCTGTTGGACGAACGATAGTTCGTCGAAACCTGTTCGACGACAACCCCGTTCGCCGACAGCCGTTTTCGCCGTCTGACATTTTGGCCGACAACTTTGTTCGACGACTGGTCTTTTCGTCGACTCCCCCCTTAGACGAGTTGTCTTTTCATCACCTGGCCTGTTGGACAACCACTCAAACCATGCTTCAGAAGCACCTCATACCTACAAGTACTTTGATTTAGATGAAGTGGTGTTTCCAGTGCACACACACAGGTGTAAAACATAGATGAAAATGAAGGGACATAGCCATGTTGCGAGGCAGCAACAGAGAAAGCAAAAAAGGATCATTGTAAACTATCAACAATTACAGCGTGGAGATTTGGATCAGATAACACGTGCTTGAAGGCGATTGAATGCTACGAGATTCTGAACAACGTTGAGCTGAGCTATGTAGTTCCTGCTCCTTGATGACCGAGCAAACAAACAAGGATTTCTGTCAGGATTCTCCTCACACATTTTTTTAAAGAATTCATAACATGCCTATGCTTTTTTTGTCTAGGTCATCAAGGCAAAAAAGCATAGCGTAGGGCCCTGAGCTTCCAAGCTCTCTCGTCATGCGACGGGCGGGGTGAATGCCCCACGGGCCTCTCAAGTGTCCCAAAGCGTGGACGTAACATGTGTGTTTTCCAACACCATACAAGAACTGTACCATGAATATACCATGCAGACAACAGCAGTGGGACTCACGGCCAGTTTGGAGGTCAGGGAGTGAATGCCCCCAGGGGCCTCTCGCGTGACTACTTGCAGTACATGTACTGTATTGGAGTGCTAAGTCTGAACTGTCACCCTTATTTCCAGTACATCTATATGTATACTACATATTGGATAAATCTTGTGTTGTAGAATTCCACATAATAATTATTTGTATACTGTTCTGTACTTTTGTGCGTTGAGTACTCTACCTCGAGCTGCCTTCACCGGCCTTGTCTATAATTATAATTTACTCAATCTGGTGACAAAGTTACATGACAGTCGTGTAGTCTTGGACTACAGTGCATTTCAAAACTATAGACGCGTAGGGTTTTTGAAATATTTCAAATTTGGCTGGAACTTTTTGAGAATAGTTTTCGGAATATTGCTCAGGATCGCTCCACAATTACTCTCGTATAGTTTCTAAAGGATTGGATAACAGACGCCCAATTTGGAAAATTTTATGCACAAAGTGATCACAGATTTTATGTGGTATAGATGCTGGCATAACGGTTTTTGCCTAGGTACGCGTCTATAGTTTTGAAATGGACTGTAGTTTCGGCTCCACGATCCAGTGTGTCGATACTATAATAGCTTTCATGGCTGAGGTTGTTGGTATATCTGTTGACTCTGGGTTCCCAGTACTCAGTACCCGAGGCTTGTTGGTAAAGAAACTCCAATTTCACTTCCAGGTACCAGTGCATCTAGTGTCTGCTTCTATCAAAGCAGCCTGCTGCCTGAACTTTGAAATCCTTCTTACCCCAGGAAGTGTAGGATGTGCATAGATACATAGAACTGTCTTGGTCGTTATAATCCGATGTACTCCGTGTGGTGTAGACCAGGTGTGCATTGTTGGTCGATTCATATGGCTTCGCCAGTTGTGTGCATGAGATAGTTATCTGGTGCAAGTTTTTTTTGATCAATACGATCTATTTCGCTATCCTTTCTATAAGAGGAAATCTGTGGGTGCAGATCCGCGACGGTGCATTTGCGGATTTGCGTGCTTTTCTTGCGACGGGCGTATACATGGTACACGTACATTATACATAGATGTATGGGAAATAAGGGTGACAGTTCAGACTTAGCGCTCTAACACAGGTCTGCAAGTAGTCACGTGAGAGTTCCCTGGGGCATTCACTCCGTGAACTCCCTCACCACCAATCTGGCCGGGCGTCCCACTGCTGTTGTCTCCATGGTCATTCTACAGTTATGGTATGGTGTTGGAAAACACACACGTTACGACCATGCTTGCGGACACTTGAGTTGCCCGAAGGGCATTCACTCTGCCCGCCGCATGGACGATAGATACAGTGTGTCTACTGTTGTTTATGTACTCTTGATATTAATAGATCCGTGTTAGGTACTGCTATGGTATTAATCACATTATAATGGCCTACAGTGTATACCAGATTCACACTGACGGTGTCCGGCTAGTTTCCACCAATCATATATTTTGCTTAAAGGGGAAGTTAAGGCAAAAATTAAAATTTCACCAGTTGTAGTCTTCGGGGTGCTGAGTCGAATGGTCTTGGTCCGAGAAAGCTGAGACGCTCCCTTCCTACTTGAATCCCAATCGAACTCGCGCACTTCCACCGAAACTGGGTGACTGCGCCCTACTAGATGGGGATTTGTATGCAAAATGTCACTAAAAGCGCCATTTCGTTCTTATAAAAGCACGGATGACCGCGATTGGCCCATATGTTGTAGTCTTTTGGACGCTGAGTCGACTGGTTTTGGTCCGAAAAGGCTGCGATGCAGCGTTCCTCCTTTATTCCCAATCGAACATGCTTGAACAAGCGGTCACGTGCTCCTGGGTGCCCAAATCACCTGGTCACCACGCCAGCAGGCGACAACTTTCACACCAAGGTTCAACTCGAGTGACAGGACTGCACCCAAAAAAGGTCAAACAGGCTAGTAAGTTGTACGCTGCACGCACGGTGACCAGGTGACTGGCGTACGCAGGAGCACGTGACCGCTTGTTCAACCATGTTCGATTGGGAATAAAGGAGGAACGCTGCATCGCAGCCTTTTCGAACCAAAACCAGTCGACGCAGCGTCCAAAAGACTACAACATAATTATGGGCCAATCGCGGTCATCCGTGCTTTTATAAGAACGAAATGGCGCTTTTAGTGACATTTTGCATACAAATCCCCATCTAGTAGGGCGCAGTCACCCAGTTTCGGTGGAAGTGCGCGAGTTCGATTGGGATTCAAGTAGGAAGGGAGCGTCTCAGCTTCCTCGGACCACGACCATTCGACTCAGCACCCCGAAGACTACAACTGGTGAAATTTTAATTTTTGCCTTAACTTCCCCTTTAATCACATTATAATGGCCTACAGTGTATACCAGATTCACACTGACGGTGTCCGGCT